TTTTTCTCCGCAGAATGAATCAGCTTGGAAAGAGTGGGCGTTGTACTATACACTCGCCTCGCGCTCAGCTTCGTTCTTGGCCCTAGTGGACCGATTTATGAAATGACACAAGATTGTAGCTACAACTGCAAGAAATGAAGATCCTCTTTGTAGTCGTGGCTGCGTCTACACGCGGCCCCCCCCCCCGCCCTGAGAGTGAGATTTTCATGCTTTGACTCTCCTAAGCTACGTTATGAGAGTGGAGGGCCTGCTCTAGCATTATGCCAGTGCTGTTTTGTCCCCAACAGACTGGTGAAGTATTTTTATGATAGCCATCATGCTCTTCCATCATTTTCCTCCATTTCTTTCGCGATTCCCTTCTTTCGGATACAGTTCCCCCCCCCCGCCCCCCCGCTCCCCACCCCCCCCCCCCCCCCCCCCCCGTGTTACTGGGAGTCGTAGCTTTTCAAGCATGACTTGAGATCCCTCTAGTTTCGGTGTGTTTTGACTTGCATAAAGGTATGACTTTCAGGATGGAACCAGTACTTCAGCAGCAGATGACTCCAGCACAGTTTAGTAGACATTTTGGAGAACTATATATATTATATATATATATATATATATATATATATAGGTATATATTTCTAAAGAAAGAAAGAAAGAAAGAAAAAAAGAAAAGAAAAAGCTTTTTGTGCAGCAAAGGAAACAATCAACAAAGTGAAGAGATAATCCACAGAATGGGAGAAAATATTTGCAAACTATCCATCTGACAAGGGATTAATAACCAGAATCTATTAAGAGCTCAAACAACTCTATAGGAAAAAAATAGAATAATCCGATTTAAAAATGGGCAAAGATCTGAATAGACATTTCTCAAAAGATGACATACAAATGGCAAACAGGTATATGAAGAGGTGCTCAACATCACTGATCACAAGAGAAATGCAAATCGAAACTACAATGAGATATCATCTCACCCCAGTTACAGTGGCTTTTATCCAAAAGAGAGGCAATGACAAATGCTGAAGAGCACAGAAATGGAAACCCTCGTACACCATTGGTGGGAATGTAAATTTGTACAATCACTAGGGAGAACATTTTGGAGGTTCCTCAAAAAACTAAAAATAGCCAGGTGCAGAGGCTCATGCCTGTAATCCCAGCACTTTGGGAGGCCAAGATGGGTGGATCACTTGAGGTCAGGAGTTCAAGACCAGCCTGGCCAACATGGTGAAACCCCATCTCTACTAAAAAAAATATGAAAATTAGCCAGGCATGGTGGTGTACACCTGTAGTCCCAGCTACTTGGGTGGCTGAGGCGGGAGATGGTTAAACCCCGGAGGTGGAAGTTGCAGTGAGCTGAGATCACACCACAGTACTCCAGCCTGGGTGACAGAACCAGACTCTATCTCAAAAAAAAAAAAAAAAAAATCTAAAAATAGAGCTACCATATGATCCAACAATCTCACTTCTGGATATATTCCCACAAGAAAGGAAATTGTACATTGAAGAGATATCTGCACTCCCGTGTTTGCTGCAGCATGGCTCACAATAGCCAAAATTTGGAAGCAACCTAAGTGCCCATCAACAGATGAATGGATAAAGAAAATGTGGTATATACACACAGTGGAGTACTATTCAGCCATTAAAAAAGAATGAGATCCAGTTATCTGCAACAACAGGGATGGAACTGGAGGTCATTATGTTAAGTGAAATAAGCCAGGCACACAAAGACAAATTTTGCATGTTCTCACTTATTTGTGGGCACTAAAAAATTGCAACAATTAAATTCATGGAGATAGAGAATAAAAGGGTGGTTACCAGAGGCTAGGAAGGGTAGTGGAGCAGAGGGGAAGTGGGGATGCTTAATGGGTACAAACATATAGTTGAAAAGAATGAATAAAATCTAATATTTGATAGCACAACAGAGTGACTACAGTCAAGAATAATTTCTTGTATATTTTAAAATAACTAAAGAAATATAATTGGGCTATTTGTAACACAAAGAAAGGATAAATGCTTCAGGTGATGGACATCCCATTTACCTTGATGTGTTCATTACACATTATATGGCAGTATAAAGATATCTCCTGTACCTCATAAATATATATAGCTAGTATTTATTCACAAAAATTAAAAAGAAAAAGAAAAAAGTAGTAAGATCGTTGTTAGTCAGATATTTAAGTAAGTGCCGAAGACTATGAACTGGGTATAAATTTGACTACTAGTCTCTTCCAACCCTAAGATGCTATGATTTTTTAGGTTCAACTTACCAAATTCCTTTCCTCCAGATTACCTTCATCATTTCTCACGGATATAAATCAGTTCTTCCAGGATTTCATAACTTTGTTGGAACACCTGGATTTGGTTTATCTCATACGTGGCTATTTATGTCAACTACTGTTGGGGATGTCCAGCTTTATGGACACAATTTCCAGTTTTTGCCTATGCTGAATGGTGGTCTGGATACAATGATATGGCTCATGTTACCAATTCTCTTACTGATGCTAATACGTGTTAAGAATTTTATACACATTATCTCATTAGATTCTCCCACTAATCCTATGGGGAATGTGAACTTATTGTATTCATTTTACAAATCAGGAAACTCAGGGCCCAGAGGGGTTAAGTACTTTGCCCAAGATAAACTGAGCTACTGAGAGGCAGAGTCTAGACTTGAACTCTGGTCTGGCTAAATCCTTTGAAATTCCTACTCTTAGCTACCAGGCTCTATCTACTACAGTGATTTTCAAAGTGTGGTCCCTGGACCAGCATCTGCAGCATCACCTAGGAATTTGTTAAAAATGCAAAGTCTCTCATGTATGGAAATCAGAAACTCTGGGGACAAGGCCCAGCAATCTGTATTTTACAAAGCCCTTCAGCTAAGCCTGATGCTCACTAAAGCTTAAAAACTGCCCAACTGAACTGAAAATTTACCTAGAAGGCCACATTCTACTCATTTAACCACACTTAGTTTTATAACCTGAATTTGAAAGTTTGTGGTGACTCTGATCTTTCTTCATGAGGAGAGAGAAAAATCCCAGACACGAAAAAGTCAGGTTCCTATTTCCTTCCCTGAAAAAGGCAAGGCGATTCCTGTCAACCCTGGTGAAGGGATTAGAGAGCTGCTGTTTTAAAATATAAACAAGAGGGAAATATTTTTAAAAACCCTTTTGCAGTATAGCTAAGTTATTGTGGTTAGACATAAAGAATAAATAGATCAAGAAGATATTGAAATTCCCCTAGAGCTTTAATATAATAACATTAATTATCTAATTAAGCAATAGTTAAAATTGTTGCTATATGTGTTTTGTTTTGTTTTCAAAAAAAAAGAATGTAAATTTGTACACCTTTGCCTGGCACATATATCAGTGAAAACAGTATTTCCCAGGTAGCATTATCAATGGAAGTTATCATTGGCTTTCTTTGGTTTAAAAAATAAAAATCCTTTCAGCTTTAAAGCTCATGCTGCCTACAATGTGACCTTGATCTGTTTCAAGCTTATCTTTAGTCAGTAGCACTGTGCAACTCTGCAAATCAGTCTATAATCTCTTTAATATTCTCCTGCACGTGCAGTTTTAAAGCTCAGTCATTGGCATGGAAGTCACTCATTACTTCAAGGTCTCTGGAGATACTACAGCTGGTCAGAATCAAGGTTTTCACAAGGTCAGTGGGGACATATATGAGTACTACGTTAAATGCTGCATAAAACAGGAGGATTTCTCTACAGGTGCATATTTACCTGAGATAGGCAATAAGCGGTTTTTAGCTGTATGGAAATGAAGTAAAACAAGAACTACCTCACTCACCACACTGCACCACACCAAAAGGAAACTAAGCACATTTCACTTGGAAACCTTGGCTAAATAAAAAGAGTCCATGGTCTGGAATAACACATGATTCACTGTATTATCCAAGGGTGCTCTCATATGTCTGAGTCTACAGGCAGTGAAAGGAGGGATGTACCTTGTCATCCCTCCTTTCAGAAAAAGGTGGAGAGGCAGTGAGCTAATAGATAACAGCATCTGTTCTTGTAATTAATACAATGAAAATATGGACTTCACTAATCTTTCTCCTCCAAATACATCGATATAAGGCCTATACAAAGCTACCAGCGCTCAGGAATGTCAGAAGGCCAAAGGGGCTGAGTCTGGGCGCCATCACTCATAATAGGTCTAAGGAGTTATCTATACACCGTTTTCTTTAGTGAAACCTTATTTGAACATCAAGTCCCATAACTTCTTTAAAGGGAAAATCAGAGATTTTTTTTAGACCCTGGCTGTTATGATAATTCAGTATGCATAAAAAAAGGCTAAGATGTGCTAAAGAAAATTGTGTTGTCCATCAAAGAGATTACTTCTTTCTTATATTTCTTCATTCATTCATTTACTCAATATTAACAGAGCAAAAACATATGCCAGGCAGTATCTAGAAAATGCCAACCAGCTCCACATGTCCTCCCTAACAGCCCCCGACAAAACAAACAGCAACAAGCAGAATATAATTTGGTGGACATGAGTGAAAATGCCAGATGATTAAATTACTGGAGTACACTTCTAAAGAAGATTTTGAATTGTCAACAGTGAGCAAGGCTAAGTCCTTAGTTGGCTGGTCAAGTACCTATCTGCCTGAAAGCAGTAGTCAAGACCTCTTCAGGTCTCTTATCTGTGCTTTGTAATTGCACTTAGAATAAGAGATTAAATGCAAATTGACCTCTGCCAAATATCTTCTCTAACCAATATGAGAAGGCCACTAAGATTCCATTTAATAACAGACAAATACAGTCACTCATAAAGGTGAAAATGAACACTTTACCTGCTGCTATCTACAATGTACTAAGCATTCTGTGTATATATTAACTCATTAAATCTCATTCACAATCTTCTGAAATTTATTCATAACTTTATGAATGAATGCATTAAATCAAAAGGTAGTGAATTTAACTGTGAGTCTTCATCCAGATGCTTAATACTATTGAGTCAAAATATCTATTGACGTCCTTCAGTGGTCAAAATCTAACTTACCCTTGCCATATCCACCAAGAAGTTCTCAAATAATTTCCAAATGTGGTTACTTGTATAGATTTCTTTCATTTCCACTTCAGTGTCAACATAACAGTGATTAACAAAGTTCACATAAGCAATTTTAACCTGTGCAAGTTTCAAATACAAAAGAAAGTTAGTTTTCTTTATTGATGACTTTGAAATATCAATTATGAAAGGTTAATATAAAATCTGTTAGTTTTCATGGAAGATCATAGCATAGTTTTGTCTATCCAGAAAGCATTCCCATTTCTCTTCTTTTGCTAAGAGTTCACTGACCTAGGGGTGAAAACATGGGGCCAAGTACTCCATCCCCCTGGGCCCAACAAATGCTGTGAGAAAGAACTTTACACAAAACAAGCCTATCATATTTGAGATTCTAGGAGTCAAAAGCAACCCCTCCTTCCTCTCTCTTTCCCTTTCATTCTTCTTCCCCTCTCCTTCTCTGCACCCCCAATCCCTTCCCCGTCTTGAGCACCTGTTTTATGCTCAAGAACATACTTAAAGTTCAACTAAAATTTCACTTTGATAACAATGCCATGTTTAGAATTTAAGAGTTGTGTAGTAGCTTCCACTAAACTAGCAGTGGCTATAGTTCTTAAAAGTTTGTCATCTTTCAGAACTTCTTACAGAACTTATTAAAAAGTAGAGCTTTTATGCTCTTTTAAATTTTCCAAATTACATAAACACAATTACTTGACTAAATACATGAGTCCCCGCCCTCTTCCTCCTCCTCTTCCTTCTTCTAACTCTTTCCTTTTTCTCTCATTGCTAAAATGAAACAAGGTAAACCTTAACTTCAAAAAACCATCTTCTCCAGGTATATAGAGGAAAATTATACCCAGAAGAGAATGAGGCAGAAAGATGAAGGAAAAAGGGATGAGAAATAGAATAAATTCTGACACTCTTTCAACCTCTGGATCCATCTGAACAACCATCCTTCAAATTCCTATGTACTGGAGCCAATAAAATTCCCTTTTTTTATTTAAACTAGTTTATGTTAGGTTTCTATCACTTGTAACCAAGAGAGTCCTAATAAAACATCAAAATATTTTGACCAAATAATACTTCATTACCATTCAAAAATATTTAAATTACTTTTTTCTGAGAAGAAATAAGCTCATAGTTTACCCCCAAAAATGTATACTATTTTAAGATACAGATGTAGTAAAATTCCTTTCCAGAATTAGTGAAATTCCTCATAAAGGGTTGGGATGAATTTCACTAACATACACCATTTCTAAAGTACATAGGACAGGAATTTTTGTTTTGCATTTTTTTGTTTCCTTCATTATGAAAATCTGATGAATGCTATAAATCTCTCTGGAAAAATACATATACATAAAAAATCATATGAACAATTTCAGGGACTCATGGAATCCAAATTGGAACCATAAAAAATATGGGACAGCTTTCATGCCCTTGGTGCTTCTCTGTACCTCACTGATCCTAAACAAACCGTCAATGGCAGAGTGCCCGTCTCAAGGATGGCCACAGGGTACAGAGACGCGGGCCACTCAGTGCATTCTCACACCTATCATGACAGCAGCTAAAATGTACTCAGTGTTTCCTATGTGCCAAATACCCTCAGCATCTTGTATGAATTATTTACTTTAATCCTCCAACAATCCTATCAGGTATATACGATAATTATTCCACCTTAAAATTGTAGGAATTTAAGATTAAAAAGGTTAAGTAACCTGTTGGAGTCAGTCACACAACTAGAATGTAATGTATCCAGGATAAAATATTCTGTAATTCTTTTGTGTATTCATTCAAAACTTATTTATTGAGTGTAGGCTCTGGCTCAAACAACAAAAGAGTGAAAAGAAACAGATCCAGTTGTTGTTATTCTCATAGAGCTTACAATCTTGGGCATGGGCATGAAGGTTACAGGTCTTTGCTAATTAATAAAATGGAAATGTCAAATTTCAAATTATATATTCTTACAGACTCTACTAAGGGAGGCCAAGGAAGTCTTCCCTGGAGAAGTAAGGCTTGAATCAAGATCTAAAGGATAAGGAGGAGTTACTTAGATGAATGTAAGAGGTAAGAGTGGTAGTGTCAGAGGCAACTACATGTAGGAAGAAATATACCCAGAATCAGGCTCTCAAGTAAGGACAGAACCCAGGAATTTCATCATTAGACTAGACTTCCCCTCTTTGTCATCTTATTTCAGACCAATCAGGCATGAAGTACTCTTGGAGTGACATGTCGACAATTCCACAAAATTTCACAAAAATATGCTTTCAAGTCCATCACTACCATACGATTATCTAAAAGTAGGGAATTTCCGTTAACCTCATCTGACACCTTTTTAAGTTACTGTGATTTTAAACGTTCGACTCCATATCTTTTTCAGGGTATCACACATTTATAAGCTTTGGAACAACATACAACAGTAGAAAAGAAAGAAATTATTGCAATGTACATTCCTGGATGCCTCATTAATAGAAACCTATTGGCAGACAACCAGCTGCTACTGAGACTTTTTCTATCATCAGAGTCAAACCAGGACAGAGGGTAAATGATGTGGGAATAAAGCAAACTGTGTGTGCATATTTTCAAGAATGCACCTATTCCATAAAACCAGGTAAACCTGTAGAGTCTTTTATGTGATCCTGCAGCACTATCCTAGCCTCTCCAATCAATGATTATGAATCATTTTTGAAACACCTGTTTTATGCTCAAGTACATACTAAAGGTTCACGTAAACCTTTCAGTTTGATCATATTGCCATGTTTAGAATTTTAAGAGAGCTGTCTAGTAGCTTCCACTAAACGAGCAGTGGCTATACTTCTTAAAAGTTCCTCATAGGCTGGCTGCGGTGGCTCATGCCGGTAAATCCAACACTTTGGGCGGCCGAGGCGGGTGCATCACCTGAGGTCAGGAGTTCGAGACCAGCCTGGGCAACATGGTGAAACCTCGTCTCTACTAAAAATACAAAAATTAGCTGGGCGTGGTGGCACATGCCTGTAATCCCAGCCACTCGGGAGGCTGAGGCAGGAGAATCGCTTGAACCTAGGAGGCGGAGGTTGCAGTGAGCCGAGATCTTGCCTTTGCGCTCTAGCCTGGGCAACAGAGCAAAACTCTGTCTCAAAAAAAACAACAAAAAAAGTTTATCATCTTTCAGAACTTCTTTTAGAACTTCTTATTAGAAAGCAGACCTTTTATGCTGCTTTACATTTTCCAAATTCTATAGTTAAATACAATTCCCTGACTAAATATATGATCTCATTATAAATATTAGTATGGGGGACGTCTGGCACCTACATAAACTTTAAAAATTAATTATGATTCTATTAGAGCTGCCAAGCTTTTGCCAGGCTTACCTCAGGGATGCAGTCGTCATGGGTCACCACCCTCACTATGTCGTCCAGCGGGAGAAGGGAATTACACTTGATTTCAGTGTAGACATTTTTCCCCTCTGTGCATGCTGCCAGCAGCTCCACCAGGGTGATGTGGTAGGCTAAGGGGCCACTCTCATCCCCTCGGTCTCTCTCTGAACACATCATATGGAGAAGGATTGGAAATGACGCTCTATCATTGTAAAATATCAGCACGTCTTCACCCCCATTTATCAACTGAAAAGATAATACGAGAGTCTACAGAGCAGTCCAAACATTTATCCTTGCAGTTAATTCCAAAGGCTTGATATATCTGGAAACACATGTATCTCTTTGTAAAAACATATATAATATGGCAAAAGCAGAGCTAAGCTGGGGGAGGGTGGTGAAAAGATTATGGTCCCATGCCAAGGAACCAGCTATGAATGCTATCAAAATCAGTTGGGGTGATATGGAAGCAGCAGATGGGGCAAGAATGAAACAATATGGATGATAGTAAATTGTTCATCACACTCAAATTAAACCTGTAAAAAAATAGTTATTTTCCTCTACCTTTTTTTGGCCGGGAGACTATGGCCAAAGCACAAGAAATCTCATACTTTTACTAAAGCAGAGTAAAATATCCTTATCCATTGCAATAGTGACTACATAAGCAAGTACATCAAGCTAATTACACCTCTACAAAAGTCTACAAAATTCTATGTGTCATAAGAAGGCATCAGTAGAGAATGAAGGTAAAAGCAGAGACAAGAGAAATAAGTAGAAAACTAAGACCAAAAAACCAAGAGAAACAAAGATATGAATAGGCAGGGGCTTTTAGGACATCAATTTTCCTTCATATTTTGTTTATATAATTTTAGTAGAAAATTCCATCAGATGGCAGTTTTATTGCTCAAACTCCATAATATCTTATTGTCTATTATCAGTACCAATTTTCTAACCCCAGTGCGAGATATGTTGTTAGGTAACTAAGGATATACAATTTTTTCTCTATGTATTATATTTAAAGTGACAACACATTTAAATCTATAAGCCAATTAGTTGGCTTACTTTGAAAGTTTTGTTGAAAGAGAAAGTATATCTATCAAAAATATGTATTACATATTAACATAATATAATATTACAAATACTTCTTTGTGCACAGAAACACTTCACCCAACAGTGTCACAGGGATGACACTGTTTGCTGCTTCCCCATTCTAATTCTTTCCTTGCCGATCATAACACAAAATCCAGTTAGTTCTCACATTTCCAGACAATGAAGAGCTAATGTGAAGGTAAATGCAGAGAAGAAAAAGGTGCATTTTACAAGCTTAAAATGTTCCTTAAAATGTTTAATAATAATAATTTACATTTAAAAATTCAAGGCTTTAAGCTAAATTAATTTTAAGATTTCTAAGTGGCAGGAGGGACTCCTTGAAGCATTATGGAAATTTCCTCCATTCCCAAATTTAAGGTATATACTAATGAAAATGCCCAGAAACCAATAAAAATCTACCATGTAACTATTTGGTAGTCATAGGTGGAAGCTCCCTTAGTCCATATGGGCCACTAGAGAACCATTTGGTCACAGAGTGGTGATTTAATCAACGGGCTCTTTAAGCTGCTACTTCTCCAATGTATCATACTTGCTTCCTAGTAACTTACTCATTACATAAATATCACTCAACATCAAACATAAAAATGAAAAAGGCAAATAAATAGATGAAGTGCCTTCATCTATTCATTTGCTGAAATTTACAACTTACTCTAAATAATAAGTTTCCACATGTTGTTAAAAAAAAAAAATCACTGTTGGGTAGTTTGTATTACTTAGTTTGATTCTCTTCAAACCTTTCTGCAAATAGTAGCAAAGAACACCCATTCTATATTTCAGAAACAGAGCAATAAAGGCACCGGAAAAGCACAGTTCAATCTGTCTTTCTTATATCATTGGAAACTCAAAAATATAAAATTGTGTCACTTTCATTCCAAACAATCGATAACATTTCATAGGATTTTACCCATTATTTAAAATACACAAATTTGTTATAGGTCAAAAAGAAAAATATTACAAAAATCATAAAACCAACTTAAGATATGTTGCTTCACTAGATTAAAGCAAAATATATTTGCACTTGAGTAGTCATGATTAAATTAAATAACTTCTCAAACCTATGTGGTTGGGGGTTTTTTCACTCTAATAGAAAATACATATTTGAACATACTGTTTATGTGAAGCTGATAAAAGGCAAACTGAGAACATACCTCTGTCATTACCATATCCTGGCATTTCTTCACATATTTACCATCTGCTTTCACAATTGTTTGCAAAAACCTCAGGTACTCCACGTGGCGGCCATGTGTCTCAATGCAGTGCACAAAGTGCTGTACAACTCTCTCGCTAATTTCGTTGCACAGATGGTAATTGTTCATGAAGATGTGCCGCATGGTTTCTGCTTCAAGGAGCTAAACACAGAGGAACGTGCCCTTGTAATTCTGACAAGATCAATTTTCTATTCTACAGTACTTAGACTAATTGCCCCGCTTGTGATCAGTTTTATATTTTATACGAAGCCACAGTGAATTTTCTGTGCAAGTCTTTCAAAAAATGCAATGAGATCATTAACCATTAAAAGAAAACTGAGTTCACAGAGGAATTTAGTTGGAGAAAGGAGCTTATTATCATAAAGTGCAACATACTGGCAACAGTATTCTCGAGATTAATTATGAATTCAAAGTTAGGTCTTCCATAAAATCTGCTCAAACACATTTTACAGACAAGGGCAAACTCCACCTCTGAGTTTTCCATATTTATGTTACTCAGGGTATTGTGAGTTAGTTCTTTGTTCTACCATGTCTTTTTCCTAACATTTAACTATATACATATAAAAGACGTTGTCATTTGCACGTAAAACTTGTGCAATTTTTCAAGTTTCTTTAAAAGTTTCCTTAATGGAAAAAAAAAAAAAAGATACTTGCTTTTGGAGAGAGAATTTCCACAAGGAAAAAAAAATGCAGCAATGAAGTGTAACAAAATTCTCTTCAAGAATGTTACTAAGACAAGTTTGATGCACACTTTACTAGAAATATTAGAAGCCACTAAAATACTTACACCTGGAGTTAAAAACAAATTCAGATGTTTATGAAGAAGAACTTGATTCTGTGGATTTCCTCGACAGAAATTCTGCAGAAACGTATGGGCTAGATTCATTACTTCGTTCATCTTTTCATCGTTCTGTAAGTTAAAGAATAGCACATGATAGAAACAAACATAGAAGACTGCAAATGTTATGCAAAAATCTGTCCTTTCACCCACATACCATTTTTCTCTCTGCCCATCTTTGCTCTCGTTTCTCTGTGTCCTTTATGTTTCACACCTCTCCCAGTTTCCCCTCCTGTCCCTCTTCTCTGTTCTCTAAATCTTTCTCACCTTCTCTGTTATTCCTCCTGATTCTATTCTTCTCTACTCTTCCAATGCCCCCTTCATTTCACAGCCCTTCTCTTTCTCCCCAATCTTTCCAATTGTTCACGTTTCCCCATCTCTGTACATAGCCACATTTTCCTCCTCTTCTTCATTCCCACACTCCCTCTGTCCTCCTTTCCTCTCTGTTCCTATCTTTCTCTGTTTCTCCTCCCTTCTCTGCTGTACTCCCCAGTCCCCACAATTCTTCCCTTCCTTTAAATGTCTCATTTTGAAGTATGTCTATATATCTCCATCATTCTGCTTCTTTTCTTCTTTCTCTCTCTTTCCTTACTCCATTTCTCTCTCTTTCTCATACATCTTCCTTCCTACTCTTTCTCCCATGTCTATTTCATCTCCTCTCTTCTTCTCCTCTTGTCCCATCTATTATTTCTTCTTCTCCCATCCCCTATTCTCCTGCTCTGCTCTCACTCCGTTTCCTCTCCATTCAAACTTCCTCTCTTCCTCCACTCTGTCAGTCATCTCTGTATATATATTTATTACTCACTCATCTCAGTTCTTCCTCTCTCCAATCTCTCTGTCCCTTCCTCTTGCTGTTTACCTTGTCTCTTATTTTCAACTATTTATTTTTCTTTTCCTCTTTGCTTTCTCTTCTATTTTCTCCTCCTTTTTGTCCCCCCGTTTCTTAACACTCTTAATAATGAATATCCCTTATTCGTTGCCATTTTCCAAAGTCCTATACTAAGCTACTATCATTTGGTTATAAGAATCTTAACAAGAAACTTAAGTCTTAAAATTCACAGAGAAACAAATCTGTCTTCTTAAAAGTGGTCTTGTGACAACATCAGTGAAACTACCTAAAATTTCCCGTGTAGTTGACTGTACCATTTGTCATGTGGTCACTGTTAGAAATTCAGATGGACTCATGTTTTGAGTGGAATTTTATGTTAATATTAAATAAATTTATACATGCACCCACCCATATGCATATTCCCTAGCTTTGCCTATTTAGAGAGGCTATGGAGACAACACCCCAAAGCAATAAGCCCACTCAGTTCTCAGAACTTTGCTCCTAAATGCCATTCCCCACCAAACAGAAATGGGGCTTCTTAAAGAAACGGCTGATTCTAGAGTTGAAGCAAGAAAAACACAAGATGAGCCTGGAACATTTTATTGTGCGAGAAAGCAAGGAAGTACTCAAAGAATGGTGGGGGTATATTAGAAGACAGATAATCTAGCTCAAAGGAACTCCACTGGCCAAATCTGAGACATTTTGGAAATCAAAATAAATAATGATAGAACCCTTTATAACCTATGGAATAAAATGAACATATACAAACCCATACTGATAAAAATAAACACAGTAAATGAATACGTTGAAAGTTTCATGAAGAATGGGGTATTAGTTTCACAGAACTGCTCCACAAAATACTTATTAATTACAAAGGAATTACAAAGGGAAAATCAGAGAAGCCTGGCAGACACAACCTCAATCAATTGATCAAAGTGAACATCATCAGTCATGGGACAAATCAAAATTGTGCACCAACTAATAGGAAGCAATGAGACGAACTTAGCATTACTCCTGTTATGTTCCTGCCAAATATGCGTAATTGTGTTAATCAGGAGGAAATATCAGATGATCCACATTACGGCACATCCTTCAAAATAACTGGCTATTTTTAAGAGTGTCAATGTTATGAGAGTTCCCACATGAAGAGATTTAAATAAACATGACAACCGAACAGCGCGTGATTCTGAAGTTGATCTTTTTTTCAAGCCGAAAACAATTGGGACAAAGGGAGAAACCTGAGTAGTGTGTAGGGACTAGGTGGTGGTAAAGCACCATGCTCTTTCCTGATTTGGAAGGCTCTAGTGTGGTGATGTGGTAGTGTACCCTTGTTTGTCAGAAACATACACAAAAGGGCTCAGGGGTGATGGGGCACCTGGTGGGTGATTTATTCTAAAATAATTAAGAAAGAAAAAATTTCTTGGAACTCTGTGAAACATTTTAAACTGTATCAAAATAACAAGCTAAAGAACAAAAAATAACCAGGACTAACCTTTTCGTAGGGTATCTGGAGAAGATCTAACACCACTGAATGTGCCCCCATATTTTTCAGTAATCGTTGATGTTGAATCCGACACTTTTTATTCTGTACACAGAGTTTACTTAGCCTAATCAAAATCTTTAAAAAGAAGACGGAAAGCATCAAATATAACAAATAACAATATTAAGTATAATCTATAAGCAAAACTTATTTGGCATGCAAATATAAACCTATATAAGAATATTTTGTATCTGCTGACCTCCTTTACAATCCGGTAGTTATTGCTCTTGTTGCTGTCAATCTGAGGTTTCTTTGTTCCATCCTGCACTGGACTTAAAATGTTCGATTCCTAAAAGGAACACAAATATGTACTTTTACGCCATTTGTAGCTTTGTGGTAAATTTATTTCTTTTGTATTAAATAATAAATATATTTTGTAATTATTTTGTAATAAATCTATTATTCAACTTAAATGGTTCTTTTGTACTTTTTTATTGCACAAAATGTTCCTTGGCTTGACTGAGCCATGCAAATTACCACTACCCAGTGAGAACACAATGACAAGTTAACTGGAATGTCCTAGAATTATGAGTTAAACTGTAAAGTTTTCATACATATTTTTAGTGCATATCCATAAGAGACATATATACCTCAGACATGCTGTGGCTTTATATTGCCTATATGAGAAGAAACACTGAAAATACAGGGCATAAAAGATATAATTTAATCACTAGGAATGAACTGCAAGAAAAAAAGAGTGATGGAGCAGATGATCATAGCTGAGCACATCACAGAGAAGGGAGCAAGGAACAACTTAACGCAACAATGCTCTGACAGGTCACCACGGCATCCTAAAGAGTCACGACTCAGGGCCAACGTACAGAACCATGAAAATGAAGAAAGAAAAAACAAAAAGCAAATTAAAATAAAATGTTTAAATTATCAAATTAATGAAGCTTATGAAGGAAACCTGAAACACCAAAAATACTTAATTATAATAACTATTATCTGTAGCATCACAAATATGGGGAGTGGACATATTTGAAACATCAACTACTGGCGTCACCTTATGAAAATCAAACACCAGTGACAATTCCATTCTGAACATTTATGAAGATGTCATGCACACCTGGAACTAGACTACGGTGAATGGATCTAAAAGAGATGCATAGAAGATATGGTCCTTCTCACAAGAAAATTACAGTCTACCTAAGAAAAGAGGGAGAAATATATCAATAAGGATTGGAACTGGGCAGAATTCACTATTCAGAGAGAGAGAGAAAGAGAACAGCTGCAGCTTTATACAAGTGTTACGAAGGAGGTCAAGTGTACGGCAAGGTCTACAAGGATGAAAACTGTCTAGTTAGGCATAAAGGATGTCTAGCCAAAGGTACTGCAGCAAGAACAAGCATACTAGTTATATGGAAAACGGCAAGAACTGACAGGGTCCATTGCAAAGACTGGGCAATCAGAGTGGGGTCTGATGGCCTCCCTCATTTACAATCCATGCAAAATTGCACTTGGAAGGAATGTCAAGTTCAACATGGGTCCAAAACTCCTGACCATAATGATGGTGTTAGGCACTTGCCGTGAAAGGGGACCCTAGTTTAAGCTCAGGAGAAAGTTACAAAGATACAGGAAGCCAATTGATACAATTCATTCGTCCCAAGTTGCTTCTCCTACTGTGCTCCAGGACAAATCACAAAATTAATAAACATCAAGAAAGAAAAAAACTGCTTTCCTTGTTAATCAGACAGTTCTGATGAAAGGCTTCAAGCAGCAGAGTGACTTAATCCACGTTGAGCCAGCACACTCCTCACTCAGCTTTATATTTTTCTTTTGCTTCTTTTCTGGCAAATATTGTCCCGAGGTTCCCAGTCTCAACTTCACTTTAACAAGTGACCTCCTCCTCCCATTTTACTGAGCAGACAGAAATTCCTTTACATGGACACTTTCTCTTTTCCATCCAAAAATTTCCAGTGATATCCACAAACCTGTCTATCTTCCCTACTGTGTCTCAGAGAACAAAATTTTTGATGCATAAAATCAAAAATTCCATCTCCTCTTCCTCATCTCCCTGTTTCATCCCTGTTTCTAGTACAACAGCAGGTTCTACCCTTTAATGACTCTTTCTCATCTCTTAGCTTCTACCTTGCTGACCACTTGTCACTCATACTCACTAGAATTGGAACTGCAAAAAGTAAAAGATCCAAACACTGAAAGCCTTCAAAACATCACTAAGTTAGACTCCAGAGCTGTATCGCCTAGCTATCATAATGAATATTTAGACAGAAATGAAAGCAGTCCAACCACCACTCCGGGGAAATAAAAGAGAGAAAAGAATGCAGGATATTACCTGCAAGACATTAACCATGAAAGTGAATCTTGAAAATTATAGGAGAGGCCAGGTGCGGTGGCTCACAGCTGTAATCCCAGCACTTTGGGAGGCCAAGGCGGGTGGATCACAAGGTCAGGAGTTCGAGACCAGCCTGGCCAACATAGTGAAATCTCATCTCTACTAAAAATACAAAAATTAGTTGGGTGTGGTGATGTGTGGTGCCTGTAATCCCAGCTACTCAGGAGGCTGAGGCAGGAGAAACGCTTGAATCTGAGGGGCAGAGGTGGCAGTGAGCCGAGGTCACACCACTGCACTGCAGCCTGGGTAACAGAGCAAGACTCTGTCTCAAAAAAAAAAAAAAAAAAAAAAAAAAATTATAGGAGAAAGTGTTAAACTATATATGAAAGTAAAACCAATGTAGAAAAGAAAACACAACCCAGTGGCTAAGATGAATGAAAACTATTTAGATGAAAAAAGGCTAGAGGTCAGAGTATGAAACAAATAGATTTTCCATTTGATAGCAAAAATAATTTATTGATGAGAAGTAGAAACTGCAAAAGCTAGAAATATAATTACATTTTCTTTTTCTGATCACAAAGGTGAAGGCTGGATTTTTAAAAGGCCATTTCATTTTTTTCTGTAAGAGAAGAAATACTAAAACATACACACAAACACACACACACTTGTACCACAAACCAGGATTAAGATATTACCAGCTCTAAAGACTGACAAAGCTCTTTAGTTAGAAAAAAGATATTTTTGATATATGTCAACTTTAAAGAAAACTGTTACAAAGGCAGGCGAAGCTTTGGTAGATATCCTTAAGCCTGTTTTTCAAGCAATAATCTGAAGAAAAAGCAACTGTCTTGTTTTAACAAAAGTAATCTTAGGTAAAATGTACTACATGACAAAAAGTTATGCTCTTTAGTTCAGCCCAGGCGAAGATATATACAATGCTAAACTCTGTATGTGTGGGAATTATGAAAAATAGTGATTTTGATTTAAAATTGCTAGCAGTCAACAAAAGGCAGCAACATTGGAAAATTCAATAAACAACCCCTTTTAATTTCAGAAAATAATTCAATTTAATTAAATTGAACAAAAACCCATGGAACATCTGGATGATTCCAAAGCAGTGATCAAGGTAATTTAAGAAATATGTAAACTATATAACTACAATTAGGTTTTGTTTTCTAATTCTGATGCCAAAATGGTCTAAATAAAGGTGCTGCAAAAGTTTTCCTTCTGAAAGAGCTGAAATTGGCTGTATTCTTTATGTCTTATACAATGCTTTACATTCTATAAACTTTAGCCCTACATCACTGGTCTAATCTACAAAACCTTGAATTTATTCTAATGACAAAATATTAGAAAAGTGCAAAATGTAGAAGTATGACTTATGCAGCATCCCAGAGCTGAATGGGTCCAGAAAAAAGAAAAAAGTGTAACACTTAGAACAGTGTCAGGCTCGTAGCACATCTCCAAATGATCCTTTTGACAATAGTGATGAAAACTAAATACGGTGCTCCAAATGTCCTTGCACTTTATTGTAACTGCTTCCTATCATCTGGAGAACTTAGATGTATTCCCCCTAACAGAATATGGGAAACAGCTTAGTTCAGTGATTTTAGAGGTAGTTATATTTTTAACTGCATAGTATATACCATAACATAAAACAGTAGGTTCAAAAACAAGAGAGCAAGAAGAGTCTAGAAATTGGGTGGGCATCAGGGTTCTAAGCAGAGACACAAAGAGTGAATATTGGTTCTAAAGATAGTTTCATTCTTTTTTTTTTTTCATGAGGTAAGGAAACTTTTATATCAATAGTAAAAAATGATATAAGAACGTAATATTATGTGAACTATATGGTAAACCAAATTTTAGCACTGGGTAGGTATGATGACTCATGCCTATAACCCCCATACTTTGGGAGGCCAAGGTGGGAGGACTGCTTGAGGCCAAAAGTTTGAGGTTAGCCTGGGCCACACAGAAAGACTCTGTCTCTATAAAAAATAAAAAATATAAAAAACATTTATTAGTTGGGCATGGTGGACTCACCTATAGCCCTAGCTATTCAGGAAACTGAGGCAGGAGGACCATTTGGGCCAAGAGTTTGAGGCTGTAGTGAGCTATGATTGTGCTAATCACTCCAGCCTGGGCAACAGAGTGAGACCCATCTCAATAAATAAGTAAATACTGGCACTAATTAATGGGAATCCAGCTCCTTAATTTAACCAAGGGCAATCATGCTTTTAAAAATAGAATTTTCCAAATCCTACAATGTAGAGCTGCCTACATCTGCAGCTGCATGATTAAAATAGCCTGGTGCATGCCTTCTATTTATCCCTATCCCACTGAAGTTTAAGGAGGTCCATCCTCAGTGAAGTTGCCAAGTCAGCAAGACGGCAAGGCCTTCTGCTCACCATCTGTACTGGTAGCCTTCTCTGGTGTAACCACTCTTTAAACTAGTCAGTGACACCATAAACCACCCACCCTCCCCTCAACTTCAGGTGCCAAATGCTGTCCTTCTTCTATCCTCATCTCCCTTCAAAACATACGAAAACAATTTTTTAATAACGAGTCTTTTATATTTGATTCGCCAGTCAGATTATAGATTATAATGTAGTTGAAGCTGTTCAGAATAAATACTGCCTCTTTCAGATAACTGAATGATAACCCTCTATGGGATAAGGAGGTATTTTTTTCTCCCCCCCCCCCCACCATCTAATGATAACATCATGTACTAGTCATTTAGGAAGATATCACCCTAGATCTACTTCTATGACCTTGCCTGGAAAGCTACTTTGGACCATCTTGGTATCATGGTTGTCAGTTTCTGCTTCCCTGGGAAGCACCTAAGGCTGCTTGAAGGCTTGATTCAAAATCCACAATGGACAGAAGAGGCTGTGACCAGCATTACTTGCAGATAACTTCCTTCCAGATGTTTCCTCAAGTCAGAGGCAAAGCTCTACCCTTCTAGAGAATACATACATATTCATAACTTTACCCCA